CAAACAGGAACTCTCTCTACTCCCGACTGTTAATCAAGGCGGCTGTTCAGCCAGCAGGCACTGGTTGTGGACTTTGATGACCGTTCTTGGAATAAGGCTCCGGTCCCAGAGAAGAAATCACTGGTGTTATCTTTCATTCCGTCAGCCGTGGGCAGGGAGCCAGGTCACATAAGAGCAAAGCCACACTCACAGGAATTGTGGATTTGAAGTGATGGAAGCAGCAGTTCTCGAGAATAAGCTCTGTTACTGGGTGGGGGGTGGGTTAAAAAAATGCACGTTTGCTCTGTGTATTGTTATAGCTTTTGTTTTCATAACTGTTAAAATATAATAACTTCTAAAAAGAAAAGAAAATTTTTATAACAAAAGTTATCTTTCTCAGTTTTACTTCTACTGTACCTTCATGAAAATGTGTCTCAGCCTCTCTGTTCAGTTTATGGTTCGACGTGGTCACTGTGTAAGAAAGTCCCTGGAAGTCCTTGCAGAGCCAGGTGGCTGATGTCCAGCTTAGGGTTACCTTTAGCTCTTCCCTGGTTGAGCATCAAAATAGTTCATTTGTTTGATGTTAGAACAGGGAGGGTCATACTTGATGTATTCAGTTTGCTTCGATTTCAGGGTTAAATCTCATGGTTATATCCACGCTCTAATGTCCCCAAGCCACGAACCAGAAACAAGCCCCACACCCCCACTTGGCCACACAGACACACCCAGACAACCTCATCTTTTCCCTCAGTACATGTAGATAAAATTTTAAAAAAATAAATGTGCCTACAAGTGTGGAGAATCTTTTTGAAGGTCTTATGTAAAGTCTTTTAGAAAGAGCTTCCAAATTCTTGTTCTTGAATACCTCCTAGTAGCAGGAGCTAATTTGATTGCTGATGTATCATTCACCGAACAGATGAGGAAAAAATGAGTAACTTCCGGGCATGTTTAATTTCATAGACTCTTGGGCTCATAATTGAGTGGTTGGTTCCCAGCTCTTCCAGGTGCAACCATGCTGTAGAGAAACGACTTTAACAGATGAAGATTTAGTGAGGGCTTAATAAATTTTTCAGACCAGTTTTCAAGATTCCCTCTAGTTTCTAGGTACTGGGCAGGAACAACAATGTGCAGCGGCAGGAATGCTCTGGCAGTGCATCTGGGGACAGAAGTGATTGTATAACACGACAGGAGCAGCCTAGCGTGTCCAAACAGCAAAGATGGAAACGACCAACAGCTGAACAGAAGCATCTCAGGGTAGCAGCCGTGATCTGCACAAAAATCAAAGAAACTTCCAGAGGTGCTCTGGGCCCATGTTCCAGGAGCAACGCTTGGGTTCTTGGTGGTTCACTTCTTTCCCTGGCTCCTGGCATTTGCAATGGGACTGCATTCCCAGGTTCCAGGGTCTTTCCACAAATGCCCTGGCAAAGCTCTCTGCCAGCCGATAGTGCAAAGCATGGCAGAGAACACACCCTACTGCCTATTGCTAATTTCCAATGAAGGCTACCATAATCAATAAACTAAGAAGCAAAAGGTAGAAGTCATGCACAGTCCAAACTGCCAGAGAAGTGGGACCGTAATATAACAAAGAATTCTATATCGGGGCCATTTTTATAAACACTGGTTTAAAACTTCATTCACAGACAGTGAATTCTAGAGTTCATGACGGTTTCCTCCATTGTTTCTTTACACTGCAGAGGCACATAATTCTCCCCGGGCACCGACGTCTTGATCTTTTGTGCGGTGAAAAGTGCAGTGAGCAGAGATTTCTTGTCAATGCACCAGAACACTGTGCCCTCCATGCAGCAATGCCCTAAGTGTTTGGGGGTTAAAGTCATTAGTGTTTCTCTTCCTTTTTTTAAATCACAAGGGCCTTACTGGCACAGTGATTAGCAATTTTCACCTGAAAGAAAAAAGAGAGAAAGTGAGAGAGAGAACGAGGGAGAAGAAAGAAAGAGAGAGAGAAAAAAAAAGAGAAAGAAATCCTAGGCAAGAAAACAAACAGAACAGCTGGAAAGACCTAATCTCTTTGCTTTCCATTTAGTTGGCAAAACACAATCCCCTTTTGGAAAGGGTTTCCCTCCCTCTCGCTCCACTTTAGTCACTGCATGTGTCCTCTCTCTTTTCCTATATCTTTTTATTTTTGTTTTGTTTTGTTTTGTTTTTTAAGCTTAACAGATATTTTCATTTTATTTTTTAAGATTTTATTTATTTTTAGAGGGGAAGGGAAGAAGAGAGGGAGAGAAGTATCAATGTGTGGTTGCCTCTTGTGCATCCCCTGCTGGGAACTGGCCTACAACCCAGGCATGTGCCCCGACTGGGAATCAATCCACAGTTCTTTGGTTTGCAGGCCTGCGCTCAATCCACTGAACTACACCAGCCAGGGGTCATTTTTTTTTTTTCTTAATGTGGCCATCTTTACCAATGAACAATTCTGAAGTTTTTCATTTATTTAAAAAGATCCATGGCCTGCCTGAGACAGAAGTACTATGCTAGGCACTGCAGGGTCATACACAGATAAATTCATCCTGAGTACTGACATCAAGAAGTGTATTATCCCAGCAGAGGATATGACTGGGACATAAATAAGTATAATTGAAAGTAAAAGGTGGCAAGTGACAAAATAAATATAAAGTGACACAGAAAGTCAGGAAGAGAGAGATTCATCCCAGCTTGAGAGTTCAGTGCAAGTTCACGGAGGAGGTGTGTCAGTGAAGGGCGTTCTCAGTCTGGGGGGGGGGGGAAGGGGAGGTACAGCAATGAGGAAAGGCGGGGCGCAGGGCCAGCATGTCGCAGAAATGCAATGCGGAGGGACTAAGTCTGACTGCAGCAGCAGCAGCGGCAGGTCTCAGGGTGTGGTCCTCAGACCATCAGCATCACCCAAGAACCTGTTAGATATGTAAATTATCGGGCCCCACCCCAGACCTACTGCATCAAAACCTCTGGGGTGGGGCTCCCACAATCTCTGGTGTAACGAGCCCTCTAGGAGAGTCTGATGCACATTCAAATGCCGGAGGGTCACTGATAAAGGTATAGGGCACCTGGGAGTCAGCTTTAAAAGAACTCTGCTGCTGTTTGGCGGGGTGTTCTAACATCGGTCTGTGAGTTCTAAACAGCTTGTAGTGCTTTCTAGTCCTCTCTTTGCTTTTGATCTTTTGTCTAGTAGGTCTACCTATTACTGAAACTAGAGTATAACAGTGTCCAACTACATAGTTGAGTGGTCTCTTCCTCCCTTCATTTCTGTATTAGTTTGTTAGGGCTGCCATAACAAAATACCACTCAACTGGGTACCACCGAAATTTTTCATGAACATCTTAATTTGTAACCTCCTAGTTTAGATGTACACCAGATTAACGGCAATCGTGTACAAAACAATGCTCCTCTGTGCTGTTATTCACACACAAGTTACATTTTTATACATTGTGTGCTCATGGACACTGAATTATGATTGTCATGGTATGTAGTTCTCCTTTAAATCAAAGAGGAGAAAAAGAGTGTTGCAACGGAAAATAAAATTATGCTGGATTTTATATTTACTTGTGTAATTATGTTTACCAGTGTCCTTTATTTCTGCATGTGGGTTTGTGTTCCTCTCTAGTGTCATTCATTCCAACTTGCCCTTAGGATTTTTTTAAAGGACTCCCTTTAGGATTATCCTAGGGAACTGAAATGGTACAGGAGGCTGTAGACCAGGTTTCTCATTACCTTAGGGAGGAGAGGATTTTCAGAGGTCCCTTCTCTGCCACTTTCACTGACATCCTTCTGTCTCACATTTGGAACCAGGGTGGGAGCCTTATTTCCTCTGCTCAGTGTTGTCCTCATGGCTTTGGGCAGGGCCCCTGGCTTCTAGCTCCAGCTTCATTCTCTGCCGATGAAGAAAATAAGGCCAGGACAATGCTTGTGAAGCCTACAGCAATGCAGCCTTGACATTAGTTACTGACATTTAAAAGGAGTAACCCTGCAGGCGATGGATGAAGCTTTCCTTGGCTTTGTGCTGAGAGCAGCACCAGAGATTGACCCCCTTTCTCTCTTCCTTTACCTTTTCCTTTACTGGGTTAGGAGGAGGCAGGTTTAGAGCTCACCTGAGTGGATCTGGTCATCCCTCAGTCTGAACCAATGGGAGACCGTAGTTGCAGCTGATATTAGGGCAAGAGCATCACTGTTAGGGTCGAAAATAACTTGGTCTAAATCCAGCCATGCCACTCGCTACATTATCCCCAGACAGACCCTTATACCATTGAGCCTTTTTTACTTAACTCTAAAATGTGCGTGATAATATTCCCCTTGCGAGTTCCTAAAAAGATGAAGTAATAAATGTATTTGTAGTGCTCAGTCCGCTGCCGTGCATATAGTTGGTTCTTGATAATAATTATGAGCTTATAACTGTATGCCATGCATGTAATTGGTACTTGAGAATAATAATTATGCTTCAACAGTATCCAGGACAGCCTATTTTTATAGTCTTGTCTATACTCTTTTTCTTTATTAAACACATGTTACTCCCTGAAAGTTTTTTTTTAAGAATTCTACTCTCTCTTTTTTTAGATTTTTTAAAGTTTCTTTACTTTTATTTTGGAGAGGGGAAGGGAGGGAAAAAGAAAGAGAAACATCACTGTGTGATTGTCTCTCATGGGCCCCCACTGGGGACCTGGCCCACAACCCAGGCATGTGCCCTGACTGGGAACTGAACCAGCGACCCTTTGGTTTGCAGCTCATGCTCAATCCACTGAGCTACACCAGCCAGGGCTGAATGTTTATGTGTAACCTAAATTCCAAACTGCATTTAACTCCTTTGTTTTGGCCCTATACTGGGGACAGAAGGCATGTCTGTGATCTCACTATACCATGACCCTTTGCAGCCTGTTTTAAAGCCATCTCTTGGCTGCGTTATCAGCAACCAGATTTCTTTGGTCAGCCTGCTTGGCTCCCAGTCCTTTCATTCCCTCTTTGATGATTCTTTGCCCTCTTTTGTGCTTCTATTTCTTCTGTCTCTTCCGATGTGTATTAATTGATGTATTTTGTAGGTCAATGTTCGACGAAGGTCAAGGTCTGCATCTCTGGACTTGGATTCAGCTGTCAGCTCTCGGCCTCTAAGACAATTTGAGACACAGCTGCAGCTACACTGGGAGGCCGAGAGACTGCAAGAGAAACAAAGGCTGCGTTTGATGGGCAACTGGGACAGTTGGAGACAACGAAGCCGCCTCTTTAGACCTATTTTCCTGAGGTCGAAAAACTCAGGAAGTAAGGTAGGTAGAGTGTTCAGGAATAACTGTAAACACCAGCCTCTCACACACATAAGCCATGAGTCAAGAAGTACTGGGCCCATGTAATCGTCTTTCCTAAATGGTTCCCTCAAACTTTTCAGTCTCCTTTGCTAATAGATGCTTGTCCTAAATTCTATTCACTCTCTCTTCCTTCGTTTGTTTATTTTTCATTATCTCCCCTACTCGATTTATTATGTACTTAATTGCCATATTTTCTTGCTGATTCCCTTGGCATTTTTCTGACTGGTCACCCCTTGTCCTCATTATAGATCTTGCAAGGTCATTTATTTGATATAATGGAAAGAATGAAATTTGGAATCTGACAGCTCAGTCTCTGGGAGATGCACAACCTTGAACAATGGGTTTATTTCCAATTACCTCCCCATGTTGTTAGAAAAATGAGAAGTTTTTATGCATGTGCAAAATTGGGACCAGAATTTTTTAAAGTTTAGCTATTCTTGCTGTTTTATAAAACTCATGCATTTAAATTTGTTTGTTTTTACACTGGGTACAGTGGCGGTTATCTCACTACAAAGAAGGATGAGGAGCCCCTAGTAAGAGAGGCCTGTCGTTGGAGCTGGCTTTTCGAGAATGAGGATGAGCTGGACTGAGTCATTCACACGCTCTATTTCCCTCGTGACCAATGTCGGCATTTGTGAGGGTGAGGATTTTGACCATGTCTGTGGCAGAAATCGAAGTAGGAAACTCTCAGTTTCCCTAGGCTTTGCTGGGGGTTTTTAAAAATGATTTAGCCCTGGCTGGTGTAGCTCAGTGGATTGAGTGCAGGCCTGTGAACCAGAGGACTGAGGTTCAATTCCCAGTCAGGGCACATGCCTGGGTTACAGGCCAGTTTCCAGCAGGGGATGCACGAGAGGCAACCATACATTGCTATTTCTCTCCCTCTCTCTTTCCCTTTCCCTCTAAAGATAAATAAATTTAAAATCTTTTAAAAAGATTTAAACATTTTTTTAAATTGATCTTAGAGAGGAGGGAGAAAGAGAGAAAACTTGACTTGTTCCATTTACTTATGCATTCATTGATTGATTCTTGTATGTACCCTGACCAGGGATTGAACCCCCAACCTTGGCATATCAAGAAAATGCTCTAATCAACTGAGCTACCCATCCAGAGCCTTCTTGCAGTTTTTTTTAAATACCTCATTCCCAGAAAGTCCATGATTTTGGCCTGTGGTAAGGCTCAGTTATCTGAATTTTTTTTAAGGCTCCTGGGTCTAGCTGCTTAGTCAGCTTTCCCAAATAGAAAACTCAGCAACCCTTGCTCTCAGATGGTATGTTGTCATTGCATCCTCCATTCAAACTTTTCCAGTAATCCTAGCTTTAGATAAAGTCGTTATCTAATGCAGACTAGCAGGAGGCTGGTGCCAGAGACTTAAACTGTTGTTTCTTCCAGTTAACATGTACATTCACTTGCCTTAGCATTTGCAAAAACAGCTGTTTCCCTCAAAGGAAAGATTTTGCATTAAGTCTTAAGCCACTTTCTCCTCCGGAAAGCCATCTCTCATAACCCAGGTTCAGCTGAGGTCCTTCCTGTGTCCTTCGGAAACACCCAGCGCACACCTCCAGTTTAGCACTTCTCACAGTTATAGTAGAATGACCTGCTTCCAGCCCTGGCCAGGTAGCTCATTTGGTTAGAGCATCATCCTGATACCCCGAGATTGTTGGTTTGACCCTAGGTCAGGCCGCATATAAGAAGCAACCAATGAATGCATAAATAAGTGAACCACAAATTGGTATTTCACTCCCTTCCTCTCTCTAAAATCAATTGAAACAATTTTTTTTAAATGACCAGCTTACAGATCTGACTCTCAAGGTAGGGAACTGTATCTTTTTCATCTCTGTCTATAACCCTCGCCCAGCGCCTGGGACACACTAGGTTTCTAATGAGCTGTCCTTTATTGAGCCCCTGCTATAGGGCAAGGATTTTACATATTTGCATCCTTCCATGAAGGGCTTTCACCACCAAGTCGGCTCTGGGCCTCAGATGTGACTGGTATCATTGCTCCTTTTTCTGAATCCCAAACTGCAAACCTGAGCTTCATCCAAGACTTTCTTTTCTCCCTCCAGCTCATATCCAATTAGTCATTTGTGCCCTGTCTGTTCTCCCTCATGGAAATCTCTCTACTGTCCCCTTCTATTATGGCATCATGGCCACTGTCTCATTTTCCTGAAATTGAAGTCCAACTAGTCTCCCCTCAGTTTTCATCCCAGCTCTCTCTCTTTGCATCTCTTCTTCTAACGGCTAAAGAACCCTTTAATGAAATGTCCTTTTGTGGGGAATGGACAGACTGTGGTATGTCCATTCAGTGGCACACCACCCAGTAAGAAACAGGAGAAAGTGCTGATGTGTACCAGAGCTTGGAGGAGTCTCAAAGGTACTGGGCTGGACGAAGAAAGCAGCCTCAAAAGTTTACGTATTTTATAATTCCATTCATATGACATTTTCAAAAACACAACACTGTAGTGATGGAGGACAGATCAGTAGTTGTATGGTTGAGGGGGGAAGGGTGTGACTACAAAGGGGTGGTGGGAAGGGGGGTGGTGATAGAACTGTTCTGTGTCCTGACTGTGGTGATAGTTCCACAAAACTGTACATGTGCTGAAATTTGTAGCACTATCAGACCCCAGAGATCAATTTTGGATATGATAACTTTAAAATGAAAAAAATATAGTGAAAATCCTATTTTTTCTAAATGTATTTAATGAAATTATACATTAAGAATGAAAGCAAGGAAAAAACCCAACTTTTCAATGACTTGCCGAAGGCCACCTGAACGTAGGCCTTGTCAGACCCGCCAAGGTCGGCCCCTAGCTTGCCTCTCCCCCTCTGAACGTGCCCACAGCCCACACTGGGAGTCCTGGCCCAGCCGGACGGTGAAGAGCTCCGGGACCCACCAAGCTCCCTCCCCTTCCTGGTGCCTTTGACATGCTCTTCCCTCTGTGGTCACCTCTCATATTCTTATGTTCCCTGTCAGTGTAAGAAAATCCTAACCTGTAGAGAATTTTTATGAGTTTATTTGAGCCAAAACTGATGACAATTGCCAGGAAGCAAGATTTCAAGTGCTCTGGAGAATAGTGGTTTTGCAGCTTCTGATCTGCATTTGAAACAAGGAAGAGAGCACAGGGAAGGTTCCCTGAAGGTGGGGAAGGCAAGAGGGGATTGGATTACAGGATGGTTGAGATTACTACTTTCTCTCCTGAGGGTGGTTACCTTATTTCCAGGGTGTGTTAACCTAGATGCACGAGAACAATGGCTAAGGCTTGCAAAAAACCTTTTCCTGAAGAAGTTATAGGCCTGGGGCTTGACTAGCCAGCATGACCTGCCCAGTTAGGAATTTATGATGTATTATAACACTCCTTTTTCAGTCACGTTCCTAAAGTCCAAGAGGCAAGTCAATGCCTCACCCTTCATCCCATTACCTTTCTGGATTCAGTTTATGACCTTCCCTGGCCCACCTGGCCCCGTGAAAGGCCCTTCCTCAGAAACCCCGGGGTCCCAGCCCATCTCCACCTCTCTGTAGCGCAATCCTCTGTTGCTTTTGCATTTCCTCTTCTTCAGGCTGCGGACTCCCAGAGGGCTGATCTGCAGCCTGAAAGCAGGCTGTTACTGTCGGAGGAATGAATGAATAAATGACATTGTCCTCTCATACGTATTACCAAAACACGTTATAAGGGAATGTGAAAATGGTGTTGAGAATTATTCAGTGGGGCTCCAAATACAATGGCTGCCTATGTAAACAATCAGAAGGCAGATGTCCACCTCATTCTGAACCCACAAAAGGGAGGGGGTACGAAGGGGCACTAAGATGGACCGCACGCTGTGTGCCACAGATGCCACACACACCCCGTTCTGCTCTTGCCTTCTCTCGGTAGTCCTGTCGAGTAGATGGGAACAGCCCCACTTTACAAAGCCAGGAACCAGCTTCCAGAACCCTGGCCCAGCCTTCTGCAGTCAGTAAGTACTGGGGCTGGTGCCGGAACAATGGCAATGCCCAGTGTGTATATTTACTGGGCCTAACGTCTTGCATCTTTTATCTCATGGAATCCTTCTAACAGCCTTGTGTAAACTGAGTTTTCCATGCCCACGTGCAGAGAAGAAAACAGGAAAGGAGGATTTGGGGGCATTTAGCAATGCCTCCAAGGTCACATCGTGGTAGACCTGGGTCTGTGTGACAGCGAAGGACAGGGTCTTGGCTGTAATGTGACACCTCCATCTCTCTCCCGCCACAAAGCCTACACCCGCTGCACACAGTTGCCAACCCCTGAGACTCGGGTGCCCTCTGTCCCGTTCGTAACTCCTCCTGGGTCTCCACTTCGTGTTAGTGAGACATAGCCGACCACACAAGGAGGATCCCAGACAACCTCCTGAGTTCACTTCTGCACCTTCAGGAAACTCAGCCCCTGTCACTGAGGATGAGGGAATCCCTACCATGAATGAGGCCACAAACAAGGGTGTTGGCACCGCAGTTAACTCAGCTAACGATGAACATTCCAGCTGGTTTCAGAGCATTTGATTTGGAAATTACATGGACGTAAAGTGAGCATTTATAGTCATTGAAACTACACGGTGAGGCCTTGTACATGTTGGTGGTGTGAGTCCCAGTTACCGTGTGTGTTTTAAATATATTAAGCTTTACCCAGTTTGACTTCAAGAGGCTTAAAAAAAAAAACCAACCTCATAATGAACTAGGATAATTAGTAAGAAAAGAAGGAGTCAGGACTTTCTCAAATGAAGAAACCCAGTTTTGACTTCTATTTACCCTCTGCTGGTTTTATTAATTGCAATGCTTTGACAATTTGCCACGAGCTTTTGCTCGCATGAATTAGCCATATTTTATCATGTCCAGAACACACACAACAGAGACTGCAGAGCAAAAGGTGAAAATAATAAAGAAATAAAGAGGAAAAGGATGGCCCTTTGGCTGTAGGTAGAAGTCTCCTAAATTCCCTGGCAGATCGGGCTAG